TATATCACATCCACCACTTTTCCCATATCTTCGATGAGACAGTTATCTCATCACTGAAAGCAGCTAGGTTGGTCAGGCATGACTTGCCCACAGTGAATCCATGTTGACTGTTCCTGACGACCTTCCTATCCTCCAAGTATTTCTAAATGGATTCCTTGAGGACCTGCTCCATCATTTTTCAAGGGACTGAGGTGAGGCTGACTGATCTGTAGTTCCCTAGATTCTCCTTCTCTTTTTTAAAGACGGGCAGTACTTTCACCTCTTTCCAGTTTTCTGTGACCTCTCCTGACTACCATGAATTTTTAAAGATAATGGCCAATGGCTCTGCAATCACATCAGCCAACTTTCTCAGCACCAGTGGATGTATTAGATCTGGTTCCATGGACTTGTTCCTATCTAGCTTTTCTAAATAGTCCTTAACCTGTTCTTTCACTACTGAGGGCTGCTGTCCTCCCTCCCATCCCCTAGACTCTGTTGTCCAGTGTAGTAGTCAGGGAGTTGACCATGTATAGTAGCACCATGGGAAGGAGGGGGGTTAGGTCAGATTAACTGTGCCACTAAGATGTGTGGATTTTTCACACCCTGGAGTGATAGAGTTAAGTTGACTTAATTTTCTAGTGTAGACTAGGCCTAAGTGCTCATTACTGTTTAAAAATATTTTAAGGCTAGGTACACAATTCCTGAAAGTGCAGAAAACAAAGAATTACTCCCGGCAAGTAATCCCCATTTTCCCATTATATTGTATCTTGCTTACATTTTTCTTTTCTTAGCTTCAGGCCATTATTCCATGTTGTACCATTTTCTGAGAGTAAAAATTCTGTTTTTCATTATGATTAGTATGTGGTAAGTATTTTTAACAATGGATTAGGCAGAAACATTAGATCTGAAAATTAAAGATAGCAAAGAGAGCACACTGAAGGAAGCTAACTGTTTTTCTGTCTGATTAGGAATATCTCATTGAAGAGATTCTGACAGAAAATTGAAAGAGGATTATGGAGTGGGCAGACCAGCTCTGCTGGGACATGCCAGTTGCCCAAACAAACGCTAGCATACAACATGAAGCAAAGAGTTTAGGGACCTATTAGAGAACTCCTTGCCATAATAGGTAAAAGAGAAACTTAGAATAGAAGTATTTACTAGGTGAGGAGAAACATTAGAAAGGTAAAGAGATGAGAAGAATAAAATATATTATATAGTCTTGCATGAGAATACAGACAGTTAAATTTTAAATTTAAGGTACATGATTTGGGACAAATGGTCTAGGTCTTGGCACACCTTTGCAGAGAAATATCCAGAAGTGTCTCAAAGTGAGCACAGCAGCTTGAGCAAAATCCTAGTATTCTTCGCTTAGCTTCACTTAGTGGTACAGGTAAAAGTTGGTGTTGCCATTTAGGACCCCTGACAACTACATCCTTGTTATTAAGATCCTTCCAAGTAGAATTTTCTGTTTTCAGATAACAGATCTTCATTTAGCTAATTGAATCAACCTATCCATCTTCTGAAAGGGTGGGCTTAACTTCACCTTATTTGCTTTCCTTGAAATGGAAATCAGTTTTCATTTAAAATGACATTAACCTGCTGTGTCTTAAAAGAAAAGGTCAGTTATTTTGCAAGGACTTATTGTTTCTCCTTTGTCAAATCATATTTTCCAGACACATTTGGCAGTACAGGAACACATGCTGTAGAATGAGCTGAGCCAGTGTATACACTGAATGATACTTGCAAATAGCCAAATATAGCTATCACTGTTGTTTATCTGCCTTAGTCAGTCTTTCTGAATCCAGATCTCTCCTCCACACTGAAGCTATTGGGCTGTGCTACTCTATTGAGAAATGTTTGAGGTATATCAGACTTGTCCAAATGGCTGCTGCACTTGACACACATTTCTTCTGTCTTTTGTACCAGTTTCTCTGTCTCCAGAGGTACAAGCAGAGCTGCAACTACACCTTTTAAAGCTGATTTTGGGAGATAAGCTAGGGAAAAGCTTCTCCCCACTCTCTACTCAGGGAAAATGATTCTCTCCATCCCTTATCAGGAGGAGCAGGCCAAATGGAGAAAGCGGATGAGCAAGATATGTTAGGTACTTACATGACTCTCATTAGGGTAGTATCTGTGTATCTCACATCTTCAATATATATATCCTCCCAACAATCCTGTAAGGTAGTATTTGTCACCATTTTACAGATAGGGAACTGAGGCATGGAGGGACTAAATGACTATCCCACAATGGAAGCTTGTAGCAGAACAGGAAGTTGAATATTGGCCACCTAAGTCTCAGGTTGGCACCATACCCATTGAATTACCCTTTGTATGTATAAATAGACCCTTCCAGGAGCCAAAGAAAGGCACAATTGCTCCCAACTCATAGACTCTCACAGCATCAGAGAAAAGGGCCCAGAGTTTGGGACCTTGCTTCCTTCCACCTTTTCTCTTGGAAACTATTCTTCCCAAGAGGCAGAACTGGAGGTTTTCTCTGACACTCCAACTGTAATTTGAAAGAGTTAAAGGGATGAGTTAGCATAAAGGAGGTCAAGCTTCCCATGTCCATCATAAATTTCATCCACACTCAAAGAAAAGGTGCATGCCTTTGGATCACAAAACACTTGAACAAGAAAAGAAGGAAAGATTTTCCTCTGATACATACCTGAAACCATGGGGAAATAGGTAGTGGCCACCATCAAGGTCCAGCCAGAGAAAGAGGGTAAGTAGGTCATAATGTAAAAATGGCCACTGTTATAGTAAAATAAGTGTGTCAACAAAATTGTCTCACTATTTTAACTAAAGCAGTTTAAATCATGCCTTTAATTAAACCTATATGACTTTCTCACATTGACATAGGCTAATTGCTCAAAAGAATAACATTACTCGTGCATGTGATTGTTCTATTCTTAGATGCTGAGATAGGCAAAAAAGACCAAGATGAAGTTTGAGCAACAGTTCAGGATAAGGGAGACATGGATGAAATTATTGGCAAGAAATCTTTTAACCATGATTTGAGGATGTCAGTAGCTCATCCAGACATTATTGGTCTATTACAAGAATGAGGTTCTGTGGCCTGCAATTGTGGGAGGAGGTCAGACTAGATCAGTGGTCCCCAACCTTTTGAGGTTGTCGGGCGCCAGGGGGCGTGGCCGTTTGCCCGCCGGGCGCCGGGGGCGGGGACACTTGCGCGCCCGGGGGCGCCACTTAGACTGTCACTCGACAGTGGCGAGACAAAGCAGGAACACAGGCCTTTCTGCAATCGAGCCCACCTGAAGTCTATGGAATATCCTGTCTCTAAGGGTACGTCTAGACTACAGGGTTTTGTCGACAGAAGTTTTGTCAACAGATACAGTCAACAAAGCTTCTGTCGACAAAGAGCGTCTAGACTGCAGCCAGTTCTGTCGACAAAGCAAGCCGCTTTGTCGACATAACAGTGTGGATGCAAAG